CTCAGATTATCCAGATATCTGAAATCCTTTTCAGGTTTGGTAATCAGAATAATAGTTCCCTGTTTCATGGTGTTTCGGAGGGTCCGGAGTTCAACAACTTCTCTGAGCATATTAAGAAGTAATACTTTGAGTGAATTGAGTGAATTGTAGAAATTACTTGTTAAACCATCTGATCCAGGAGATTTATCTAAAGATGAACAAGTTATTGCCTTCTCCACTTATTAATTATTAATTTCTGCCTCACATACCATTTCAAAGTCATCATCTATCTTGGGGATCCATTCTTTAATTATCTGAAAGAAGGAGTCGGCTTCTGTAGAGGAGGAGTATAGATTACTGTAAAATGTGTAGATTTCCCTGGCAATTTGGTCTGAATCGGTACACCCCTGACCATCTTCTTTTCTAGCCTGCAAAAGTATGCACTACTTATTTCCCCATCTTCTATCCACTTTGCCCTTGATCTAATGTATGTCCCTTTTGCCTTATTAACATGCATATCATCTAATGTCGATTGCAACAAGGCCAGACTACATTTGTCAGTCACTTAACACAGTTTTACTGCAAATATTATTTTCTTTGACAGTCATCATTTCCTTTTGCTTATTTAAGTGACTGATTAATCTACTGTGTGCTATAGCAATCTGCTGTACCCTAAATTTAAGATATTCCCATTTAATGATATATGACACTAGGTTTGGATCAGAAACAACTGATCCAACTGAACATTGATTTCTTCCTTAACTTCTTGGCAAAAGGATTCACTATTGAGTAAATTAGAGTTAAATTTCCAATACCCCTTGTGGCGATACTGCTTTTCAAGAGGATTAAGTGCAAGACTAATCATACAGTGGTCTGTGAGAGGTGCTGCAGATATGGTACTACAAACATGCAATCTTAGGAGAGTATGAGAGACAAGCCAAAAATCAATTCTAGATTTAATCAAGCCATTGTGTTTGAACAATGTAAATGTCAGGTTAAATATGTTTGCTAAATGCCATGGGTCATCCAATTCAGAAATCTTTTAAAATTGAGTTATAATGGTACCCCTGGTATTTGCATGGAAATCTATCATGCCATTCATCCAATACCATGTTAAAATCTCCTCCAATTATAACACTTTCTGTGAGATTGGTGAGGCATCGACCAATAAAATGACTTTATTCCCACCCCAGCCCCGCCCCCGATTCTGCTCTCTCAAGTTTGCATTTATAAGTGCACGAGTGAGTTTTGCTACAGGAATATCGCAAAAAGAGTAGCAAAAGTCAAAGCGCTAGGATTTGAGGTTGTACTGCCAGATCTGAGAGGTTGTGAGTGCTGACTTGTGGTTGTACAGCGAAACTGAAGTAAAGCGCAAAGATAAATGTGTAGTACACAATTGTGCCTGTCATTTTGTTTATGCGAATGACACTTTACACATTTGTAACTATTAATCTACAACTTCGAATTCAAACCACAGGTGTTCTGAGTATTGTCTGTGTGTGCAAATCGATAGATGCAGCTTTTCACATCAGAGCTGTGAGTATAAATTTCAACTCACAAATACAAATATTAATTTTACAAGTTCTCACATTCAAATTAGCAAGCTCTCGAGTTTTGCTACTGTTTTACCTTCATACCCAAAGGCGCGCACTACGGGCGCGCCCCAGGGGAGGCGACAGACGAGACAAGACCGGGGAAACAGGACCTGGAAAACAAGAGCAAAATCATCAACGAGGGACCGGGAACAGAACGGAAACACAAAACAAGCAAAGGGGCAAAAACCAAGACAAAACCTGACAAAGGACGGGAAACGCAGACAGACAGACCAGGAAGGGAGACACCGGAGGAACACCGACAGGCGGAACAAAAGGGCCAGGAGTGAACGAAGGAACCAGGGTGGGACGAGGAGCAGAGACAAGAGGGACAAAAGGACGAGGAGGGAACGGAGGAGACACAGAGGGAGGAGGAGCAGAGACAGGAGGCAGAAAGGGAAAAGGAGGAGGAACCAGGGGAGCCCAAGGGAACCCCAGGGGGCGAAAGGCGGCAGCAGGAGGAGCCGCGGGCAACCAAGCGGCCGAAGCCGGAGGGCCCCCGGGCGACCGCGAGGCAGGAGCCGGAGGGGGCAACGACGGGGCAGAGGAGGAAGCCAGAGGGACCAATGGAGGAGCAGAGAAGGAAGCTGGAGGGGGCACCAGCGAAGGCAAGGAGGGAGCAGAAGGGGAACACGGCGAAGGCAAGGAGGGAGGGGAAGTCGCAGCAGGCGTCGGCGCAGCCACAGCAGGCGGAGGCGCCGTCCACCGACGAGCCAGAGCGGGGAGACCCGCAGGCGAGTGACGAGTCGGAGCGGGGGAACCCGCAGGCGGCCGCCGAGGCGTCGGAGGAGGGACCACAGGTGGCCGACGAAGCGACGGCGGGGGACCCGTAGGTGACCGTCGAGCAGAAGCCCGGGGGACCGCAGGTGAGCCGGGGGGCAGGGCTGGCGGGACCCGACCTCTGCGCCTATGTCCTCTCCCTTTCCGGGACACCGACAGGCAGGGTTTCGGTTGGGCTTGACCGCGCCGAGGCGAGGGAAGAGGAGTCATTAGGGAAGTCCCCGAGGGGTCCCACTCGAGCTCCTCCTCCTCCAAGGAGGAAGGAGCGATGGTTGGTCTGTCCGGGACCTCCTCGGGGACTGGAACCAGGGCTGGGGGGACAGGAGCGGGGACCGTGACAGCAGGTGCCGCGGGAAGAGCGGCGGCCTCAGGAGGTGCCGCGGGCATGCGGCCAGCAGGGGGCGCCTCGGCGGGCGCCTCCGACACATGGCCAGCAGGGGGCACCTTAGCAAGCGCCGCCGACACGTGGCCAGCAGGGGGCGCCTCAGCGGGCACCTCGTGAAGAGCAGCGGCAGCTGCAGCAGGCGGTGCAGCTGCAGCCGGACAGGAACAGGCGGGTCAGGAGCAGGCGGGTCCGGAGCAGGCTGGACCAACGAGCAGGGCTGGACGGGCAGAACAGGCAAGGCCGCGGGCACAGCGGCGGCCTCAGGCAGAGCTGCCGGCAGAGCAGCCGTGCGGCCAGCAGGAGGCGCCGCAGCAGCCACTGCTCCAGTAGAAGCCTCGTGTGCAGCAGCAGGAGGCGCAGTAGCTTCAGGCAGGATGGCTGCAGGCAGAGCGGCAGCATCAGGCAGGAGGGCCTCAGGCAGAGCGGCAGCCTCAGGCAGGAGGGCCGCAGGCAGATCAGGCGCCGGCAGGACAGGCGAGACAGGCAAGACAGGCAGATCAGGCGCCGGCAGGACAGGCGAGACAGGCAGATCAGGAGGGGGCGCCTCGGCGGGCTCCTTGGGCGTGTGGCCAGCAGGGGGCGCCACGGCGGGCGCCGCCATCACATGGCCAGCAGGG